TTCATTCCATTGTTAAGCTTTCCCTTCACCATTTTTTAGGGTAGGCCTTGTGGCAATTAACTTCCCTAGCTTTCATTTATTTGAAAATATTCGTTTCTCTCTCATTATAAAAAGGGCCATTTTCAGTGATTTTAGAGTTCTTATTTTATTTCTTTTGAAAATCTCTTTCAGTGTTCAGTGTTCTCTCTCTCTCTCTCTCTCTCTCTCTCTCTCTCTCTCTGTGTGTGTGTGTTTGCACAGTTGCATGTGTGTGTGTATGTGTGATATTCTTTGCTTTCTGGTCTGTAAAGTTTCTTGCTGACAAACTGATAGTGTCAATTGAGTATCACTTTAATGTAATGAATATGTTTTTTTTTGCTTTGAATTTTTCTCTTTCACTTTGTCTATCAACTATTTAAATAGAAGATGTCTCAACATGAGTGTCTGCTTTTCTTATTTGAGCTCACTGAGATTCTTGAGTGTTCAGATTCAGGTTTCTGTACAACTCTGGGGCATTTTTTGTCATTGTTTCTTTAGACAATCTTTCCCCTCTCCTCTGGAACCACCACAGTGTATACATGGGTCTACTTGATTATAGTCCATATATTCCTTCAAATTTGTCCACTTTCTCCATTTATTTATTTTTTTTGTTTCTTCTTTGACTCAATTTCAGATGCCTTGTTTTCAGGTTTCATTCTATTCCTTCTATCTGCTCAATTAAATTGCTTACTATCTCTTGAATTGCTGACTCAATGCCACAATACAGTTACTGTATGTTCAGGTCCCGGAATTTCTAGTGCTTTTATCATTTTTTGTTACTTTTTATAATTTTTATTTTTCTTCATTGATAAGCTCATTTTATCTTATTTTAATGAAAACCTTAGTAGTTTGGGCTTCTTTTTAGCCCTTTGAATATATTTAAGACACTGTGGGGGTGGTTAAGAACACTTGAGTCTCTTTCAGAGGACTAAAGTTTGGTTCCCTGCTCTTCTTGTTAGTACACAACTGCCTCAAACTCCATCTCCAGGAGATCTGATGAACTCCTAGAGCACCTACACTTGTGTGCTCATGTGCACACACACACACACACACACACACACACACACACACACACACACAAAGAGCTAAAAAGAAAATAAATCCTGACAAGGAAGATTGTTGTCTTAAGGTCTCAGACTAAGCCAGGCATTGTAGAATGAGCTTGAATGACCTGCACTCAAGAGTCTGAGGCATGAGAACTGTAAGTTTGAAATCATCCATCCCGGGTTATATAATACAGAAAAATATCTTGTATCAAAACCAAACCAAAGCAAAAAACCCCAATAGCTGGGAGTGGTACACATGCCTTTAATCCCAACACTTGAGAGGCAGAGGCAGGCAGATAGTTTGAGGCCAGCCTGGACTACAGAGCAAGTTCCAGGACAGCCAGAACTGTGACTCAGAGAAACCCTATCTGTAAAAACCAAAAAACTAAAACCAAAATCAAAACAAAATGAAAAACAAAGAACTGTTTAACTTGTTACTCCTTGGCCTATGTTCCTCTGTGGATGGTGTATAACTTTATTTTCTTTCTTTCTCTGAATGTGATAGATTTAAAAAAAACTGTTGTTTTGTACACTTTATAGGGTTCTCTATTGACAAAAATTATGAATTTTAAAAACCAAACATTTCTTGCAGTTTTTTTCTTTTTAAATTGGTCTTGTGCCAAAATAGCCCTTCATCAGTTAATTGATTATATTCTGTATTCTTTCATCAGACTGTGGAAGAAGTCTGAAGTTTGTCATTATTTGTTTTTAGAACATGCATCTCTCAGTAGTGTTTTGTGTGGCTTGTACACACACACACACACACACACGCCTTCTTCAGTGCAGTCTCACTGGGTATTCTAACCACACATCAGATTTCAGGGTATGTTCGGTAGTAGATGGCCAAAATAAAATGAACTTCATACTAATTTTGTAGACATTTGATCTCATAATACTTTGAACTTTTTTTTGTTTCACTGGTCTCTTGTTTGTGTATTTTGGTTTATGATTTTTTTTCTTGTGTGCCAGTTCCCTATTTCTGTTTGTTTTTTAGAGAGAAAGGAATCGGTGAGTGTGTGTGTGTGTGTATGGAGGATCTGGAAGGAGCTCGTGGAGGACAAAAGCATAATCAAAATATACCGTATGAAAGAATATTTTCAATAAAAACGGCAAAAATATCTACTCTACACACCGTGTGTGCATGTGTGCACTCTTTTAAATGTCTTAACTCTTGCAGAATTTTATTCTACACTGTATTTACACTTTTACCTTCATCTATAAACTGCGGCCCCATTTGTCTAAAAACGACTATTTCTCTGCGGCTGTCCTAGGCAGCGTCTACTGCATCTCTCCCCCTAAGCTCAGATGAGGTGAACTAATGGCCAGTCCTTCAGGAACCCCTTGGACAAGGTGGGCTGCTCCAACCAAGGTCTTTTAAACTCAGCCCTGTAATTGGTTGAGGGGAATGCGAAACTGTTCCTACATCTGCGTGTTGTAAATGCTAGGAAGCAAATCCAGGTCCTCACCAAGAGCAGCCATTGCTCTTAACCACTGAACCATCCCCACCCACTCACCAGAAAGTTTTGTCATTTGATTTCTGACTGGGGTGAGATACAATCTTAATGTCGCTTCCATTTGCATCTCCCTTTTGAGTAAATACGTAAGTACTTTTCTGCACACTTACTGGCCATTGGCACCTTCTTCTGGAAAGCGTCTGCTGTCTGCATAGCTCACACTCACAGCGTTTAGTTCACACACACAGGTATTGACTGGATTAGCTGCTCTTCCAGTGTCTACTTTCTGCTGATACTAACACTGAAATTTTCTTTACTTCTTAGAAAATTGTGTTTAATCATTTGGTTCATCTGTTCAACTCACATTTGTTTTCAGTTGGTACTTTGTTTTTTATTTTTCTTTTCAACTATCTCTACTCTAACCACTGTTTTCTTTCTCATAGTAGTTATTTTCCCAGCACATTAATTCTTTTCCTTAGTTTGTTTTTTGTTCTAATAAAGATTATTGCCTGGATTGCTTTCCCTTTCTTTAAGGGAAATATTTATAAGTATAAATTTCCCCTTACCTCTCTTTTGGTAGCATCTTTTGGGGTTAGCATGGTGTATTTTTATTCATCTCAATATTTTCTGCTTTACTTCCTCATTTCTTCTGATTTGTTGCTCATTTAACCTAGTCTAGCCACCATGCTTTGTAGTAGTGACCTCTAGGCTACGGGCAGGGTCCCAAACCCAGGGTTCTGACTTAGTTTCATCATTTCCTCCTGTGCCATAGCCAACATCTAGGAAGGAACACAAGGAACCCTTTATGCTGCCCCCATCACCCCACTCCACAGGCTGATTTTCTACATCCCCCTCCAGTGTCTAGCCTGATAAACCACTGACTCCCAATCTTTAACACCATATAAACTGGGCATGGCTTTATCTCAGAACCCAGAAGATAGAAGGGGGGGGGAGGGGATCAGAAGTTCAAGGTCATCCTCAGCCACATAGCAAGTTTTAGGCCAGCCTGAGACAGATGAGACCTTGTCTCAATTTCGTTTACTAGATTATTATTTGGCCAAGTTAGTGGTCTTATGAAGTTTTCTAATAAATCTCTTTAGTCAGACTGTAGAAACCATTTAAGAAAAAAGTTTAAACAGAATAATAGTAGTTATTTTCATATTCAATTTGTCATACGCATTATATTGACATACAATTTGACTTTGATGCAAACTGATACATTTCAGTGAATATTCCGAAATATCCTCCATCTTCTCCCGTGCATCTATACACACTGGGAAGGGCTTGCCCCTCTTTCAAGTAGGAAATGAAGAATGTTTGAGGAGGTGGTTAAAAGCTTCTTAAGGGACTGATTAAACTAAAACATGATGATCCTGAGCGCATGAAAAATTGGTGAGAGGGTTCAGCTGAAGCAGTAAGACTTGTGTTTATAAATGTAACGTACCATAAAAAAAATAAATGTAACGTACCAAAACTTCGTGAATTTGAAAGACATCGGGGAGGGGCATATGCGAAAGTTTGAAGGGAAGGAAGGGAAGGGGAAAGTGTTTTAATTACAGTATAATCTCAAAAATAAATAACAATTACACAAAGAAAAAAGACAGATCATCATTCTTTGGCTTACACGATGATGGCAGACTTTAATGGGATGAGTGAATTAAAAGTGTACACGATGGAATCATACAAAGATGGGAGAGGGTAGGCTACAAGGGTGGTCAGTATGCATTATGTACATTTGGACAATTACTAAAGAATAAATTTGGTAAAAATATTTGGAAATAGAAAGTCTATTTTGTTGTGAAGAAAAAGAGAAAGAGGACAGCTATTGCTGGGCCTAAAACGTTGTGGAAGAGCATTGGTATTGGTTTGCAGCAAGAGTTTGGAAAACGTTGGCCAACCAAACTCAAGAAAGCCTATAATGCTGCAAGTGACTTCAGGGGTGACTCTGTGATGGTTCAATGGATTAGAATGCTGACCAATAACAGCCAGGCTGATGAGATTTCAGATAAAGATGAGCAATCTGACAGAAATTGTTCTACAGGCCACTCATGTTCCACTGTGGCCACTAATCTGGAGGCATCTTGTCCATTTCAGATATTTCTGTGGGAAGCCTAACTTAAAATTGACAGACTAGTTTATCTGCTAGAGGAAACTACAAAATATATTGCAGCATGTGGGTTTTACTGTCTGCTTCTAGTAGGACTGCCAGAGTCAGGGCAAAGACAATTCAGGGGGGAACGGTATTAAGACGTGTGGTTTACTGAAAAAATAAGCACAAATGAAGTATCAGTCTAAGAGGATGTCTTAGTTCCTTTTCTTGTGGCTCTGATAAAACACCCTGACAAAAGCAACTTCTGGGAGAAAGCATTTATTTTGGCAAACAGTGTGAAGGGACAGTCTCCTGTGGCAGGAATGCGGGTGGCAGGAACTTGTCTACACGTTACATCTGCAGTCAGGAAGCAGATTACCATGAGCTTGGGTGTGCAGCTGCCTCTTTCCTTCTTGAGCGGTTCAGGACACAAGGTCAGGGAATGGCACCATCACGATGAGGCTGGTTCTTCTCACCTCGGTTAACTTAACCACAGTACTCCCTCCCAGGCCTGCCCAGAGGCTTGTCTCTTAGTTGGTTCCAGATACTGTCAAATTGATAATCAACACTAACATCATAGATGGTACAGTTGTAATCATTAGTGCCATTGAAAGTTAAAAGTAAAAATAAATCAGCTTGGAAATTTAGAATACAGACTTCTGTACATTTAAATAACAGGTCACATGTTAGGAAAATCATTTGAGGAAACACAAATTAGATTCTGTGAGACACAGTTTGAGGTTAGTTCTTCATAATAACAGAAAGCAACTGTTTTGCAATCACAATAGGAAATATTCCTCGAAAGTGTCTCAGGAATTAGTAGGTAAAAAAGGTACAAATTTAATTTTTTTTAAAATTATTTAGAATTACCTGGGGTGGAACTTTTTAGCTCACAAGATTGTCTTCTTCCTGGTTTTTCTTTGATAAAAAAATTACATAATTTGAAAACTGACTGTTGTTGAAGCATGCTTATTTGTCTGCATAACAATAAAATAGCTTTTATTCTGTAAAAAGTTGATACACTTATACAATCTCTATTGATCCTATCCTCTTAGGAATGATGGTTCTAAGAGTGTGAAAAACTGGCGTGAAGTTTCAGCTGAAGCAGCAAAACTTGTGAATGGTTGTGAGGTTGGTCAAGGGATACAAAATTTCAGTATTAAAATAGGGTGAGTAAGTTCATGAGATCAGCTATGCTATACAGTGTCTATAATTAACAATACATTATGTTCTTGAAAACACTAAGACAGTAAATGTTAGGTGTTCCTATTACAGAAGGGCTAAATATAGGAAGTAATAAATACTAACTACTTAGAGTTAGTCATTTTATTATATATGTGTGAAATATAATGCATGTTTCAAAACATGCTGTACACATAAATGTAAAATTTTTAATTGTGGATTTGAAAAAATAAATGTGATTAAAGTGGCATGAGAATACCTAATTCCTGTGAAGGAGTATATTCTTATACTAATTATTAGCAGCTTAAAAGCAATGCATATTTATTACCTCACTTAATTTAAATCAGGCATCCAGGCAAGCCTTAATGGGTTCCTCTTCATCAAAGCTTTATCAGATACTAGTAAATTCATGACCAGATAATAAAACGTGATGTTTTTAGAAAGATTCAATTCGTTGCAACCTGCTAGAGCCTCAGTTAGTTGTTGATTTTTGTCTAGACGATACCTGCATTTCCTTCTGAAGATGTGGGCCTCTCTATAGGACACAACATGGCAAAGTTCTTCGTCGGAATGAGCAAATGCGAGACCAGAAGTCTGATCGTGGCAGAAGGCACAGTCATATGATAATCTTGGAACTGGCATTTCATTATTTTTGACATTAGAAGCAAGTCACTAGGTCAAGCATTTATTGAAAGGGAGAAAAATTTATAGAATATCACTAACATGAAGTAGAATCCTTGAGAATAAACAAAGACATAAACACCATTGATTGGCCTACTTTCCAGAGCTTCACAGTGAAATGAAAGATTAGATCTGTCCTAGATGAGTAATGATTGAGAAAATTCTACATTGGTACTTTGTCAGAAGTACTGGTACTAAAGCGTACTACTATGTTATCAATGAAAGAAGGCATTATCTGGAGATAGAACTATGTCTTCTCATGAATAAAACATTTGCAAAAGGATAGAAGTCTCTTAATATATCAATTCTGATTGCTCTCTTCTGGAGTGAATCAACCTTAACACAGAAACAGAGAATCTTCTCCTGTCCCATGTCATGAAGTAGACTCCAACTTGAATATTCTAAGTATATAAGTGATACATCATTCAACTCAGAGACTACTTATATCCCCACAACAAATGATACTATGACAGGAAGGAACGTTGCTTCTCATAGTCATAGCATTTAAGTAGTGTCTTCTGAAATCTGTGTAGCATCTTTACTCAAATAAAATTTTAGCAACTGTGCCAGGGACAGGGTCACAATGTGTCAGATAATAATAACATTTTATTGTGGATATATAAAAATTACCCAGAGCTGCAGGTAATTAAATGTAAAACAAACATTAATCAAAAATTAGGAATAAATGGGTAAATTAACTCGAGGCTGGAATAGCCTTTTGGGAACTTTGAAAACCATATATTAATTGTACAAAGCAACGAGCTTCACTCTGACATTGTCATCTACAAAAGTATATAGAATCTTAGAAAGCCAAAAACTCTAAATGAGTCGATAATCACGATTCATGTATTTTGCGGTAAATTTGAAAACATTTACACTGATGACATTTTAAAATAAAATCCCATTCTTTGTTAAGGTAAAATTATGTCATTTGCAGGGAAGTGGATGCAAGCGAAGTTATCATATGACATGAGTTTACTCAGACTCAGAAGGACAAATGTCACATTTTAAAAGTGTTTCTGTATCTAGATTTTATCTAGAAACATGACATAATGTATGTATATGTGATATTAAATTAGAAAGGGAACTGATGATGAATAAGAGGGACTGAAGGGAATAGGCAGGGCCAGAAAGGGGAATGGCATTGGATTAGGGAGAACACGGTTAAAGTCCATTTTATTGATTGGTTCGTCTCTGAAGCACTTGCTTTGCAAACATGGGGACCTGAGTTTGATTCCCCAAATTCACCATTAAAAAAAAAGTATGGAAGCATGTGCTTGTAATCCTAGTGCTGGAGAGGCAGAGGCAGGAGGATTCTGGGCCTTTCCAGCCAGCCATTCTAGCTAATTTGTGAGCTTCAGGCCAATGAGAGAGCCTGTTACAAATGTGGTGGGTAACATTCTTGAGAATGACACCTGAGATTGTACTATGGTCTCCACATGCACATGGACATACAGACTCACACATGTGTGCAAAAGTATACACGCATATATAAACACACATGCACACAAATATGCACACAAGCATAAAAAGTACAATATCAAATAAACAAATGACAACATATCTTGGTATGGATGTGGGGAAAAGAAAACAACTTATACACTGCTTGGGGGAGTGCAAGCTGGCATGACCACTATGGAAATCAGTGAGGGGGTTCTCAAAAAATAGAAAATAGATCTACTACGTCATCCAGTTATACCACTCCTGGATTACTCAAAGGATCCTATATCCTATTACAGAGATACGCATTCATCTATATTCACTGCTGCTTTACTCACAATAGCCAGGAAATGGAAACAGCCACGACATCCATCAATTGATGATTTGATAATGAAAATGTGGTACACAATGGAATATTATTCAGCTGTTAAAAGAATGAAATTAACAAGTAAATGGATGGAGCTGAAAATAACCATTCTGAATGAGGCAACCCAGACACAGAAAGATAAACATGGCATGCTTCTTATCATTTCTAGATATTAGCTTTGAACGTTTAGATAGTGGTAGTTCATTTGGAATACCCACAGAGGTCATGAATTTAGTAAGGAGTTATTAGGAGGAGGGTCTTTCAAGAGAAGGGGGTTAGAACACAGTGCTATAAAAAGTTAAAGATGTATAATGGAACAAGAAGCATTACACTGCAGTGGAACATGGAAGGGGAGGGCAGATGATAGAATATGAGGAGGGATAGCTGACATGAAATGCCTTGTGAAAAAGCCATAAGGAAATCTATCATCATACAAGTATTATAAGATATAGCCATACAGATATATAAAGTCTTGTTAGAATTTTCCTACAATAGAGGTACAATACCCCAAAGAGACATCTCATGTTAGCAAACAAATCCCCAACACCAGGAATAGGTTACCTCTTTTTAAGTTGTTGGCCAATGGGGGTCACATAGTCCTCCCCCCAGAATAACAGACAATTCCAGTACTCTTGACTACCCTCCAGAACTTGCTGATTACGACCTGACTGTTACAGACACTGCACATTTGAGTCCCCAAACATGGAGAAATCACGGTGGTACTCACCTGGAACCTTCATCCCTATTGGCTGACTTTGATGGCGCTGGAAGGTGCTATGCCTACTGCTAGAAGAGAAAAGTAAACCCACAGTACCAGCCATCTGTGAAGCTACGAGGACTGGTCTAACCAGATATGACCTCTGGTGTGATGGTGGCGCAAATGTTAGGAGAGGATCTAAGTCCTGTTCCATGAAATGCTATCCATACCTGTCACCATTAAAAAGGCCAAAATCCTGAGTTAGATATGTCCTAAGGGAGAACCCCATACTATTATTCTGCTAAATGGACAATTCTTAGTGACTTTTCTTTCTTTTTTTTTTTTTTTTTTTTTTTGCTATTCCCATAGAGCAGAGCTTCTCTCAGCTCTCATCAGGGAAGCTTCTCCTTACAGTAGATGGCAGTTAACACAGACTCCCAGCTAGCCAGTGTGCAGAGAATAAGAGACTGTGTGGTGCTAAGCACTAAAGGGGTTTACATATTACACACACACACACACACACACACACACACACACACACACAAATGGCCAAGGCTCAGGGATCTTTGTGGAAGCAGCGGAAGGAATCGCCAGAGGTGGTTGATAACATCTGTTTTCCAGATACAACAGAGCAGTTGTACATACGGTCTTACAACAATTGTGACCGACTGACTACTGCACAAGCTCCAGCCAAACAAAATTCTAGGACAAAGATGGGAAGGTGGGCACAAAATCCCACCAGTAGCTGAGGCGAGAGAGTCAGTTCTCTTGAATGAAGCAAGGTTGACCACATACCACTGTAGACCACACTCTGGAGACTAGCTAGGCTGCGCAGACTGACCTCGATGGAGAAAGATGAAGAAGAAAGAGAAGGAGGAGGAGAAGACTTCTCAAAATTGAGTGGGAAGGGATGGGATAGTTAAAGAGTGGTTATAGGAGGAGTTCGGGGCGGGTTAGGGTGAAATTGTCCAAACTACATTGTACAAAATTCTCAGATAATTATTAAAACTATTGTTTAAACAAGTACATTATATATTTGCATGCAAATGTCCTTATGGAGCTCAGTGGATGTGGAGTGTGTAAGAACACTCTCTCTGGAAGCATGAGTCCCCAAGTTCTAATATCACACAAATATACACATGGCCCTCACACCTGGAGCAGTAGCATTGAGGGACAGAAACAGGTGGGTCCCAGGAGCTTGCTAGCTAGCCACCTTAGATGAAACTGCATGTTGCTGGTTCAGTGAGAGACCCTGTCTTAAAAAATAAGGATGATCTAAAGGTCTTCCTCTGGCTTCCCCTCATGCATTCATGCGCATTTGTTCCTACCCTCATGTGGATGCACTGCACAAATGTACCCAGTCTCTCTCTCTCTCTCTCTCTCTCTCTCTCTCTCTCTCTCTCACACACACACACACACACACACACACACAAACTTCATGAAACTCCATGCTGTGTACAATGAATATACACCAATAAAACATTAAATCTACTAAATATTAAAATTGAGCCTGGGGATATAGCTAAGTACTTCCCTAACATGCATGAAGCTCTGGGTTTGATCCCCAGCAACACAATGCGCAATAACAAAAATGACAACAATACCTCCCCCCTGCAAATGGCTGTGGTAGCCCTGCCTGTAATGCCATCACTAGGAGTGGAGGCAGGAGGATCAGAAGTTCAAGGTTGTCTTCAGATATATATTTTACAAAGTCAGCCCGGGATACATGAGAAGAAAGACAATGAGCAGAATATACATAATAAACTAAAATTAGTCCAAACCAAATGGGAAAAAATACATAAATCATTCCAAGAAACTGAAATGGTGGAAACCCTGTAAGTCTTATTAAAATTAGGAATGTTGTTCTCTGACAAAGATGTGCTGCCAATGACTAGCAAACTAACTACAAGGATTATCTATTGATTATATACTGGATGTATTGATCAAATAAGTTCATTCTAAACTGTATTTAAAAAAATTCCTAGTAATTAGTTTTGCCCGAAACACAGCAAAATCTATTCATTTTGTCCTATACCTGGAGACTGCATTCTTCTCAATACTTTATGTTGCACTCCTGCATTCATAGACACAAAAACACACATATTCACATGCACATACACACATGCACACATGAATATATATGTAAAATAGATTTTCACGAAATCTTTGCAAATTAAAAGCATAGAAGAGAAAGTTGTACACTACCCCTATACATACCATTCAAGCACCACACCTCAGCAGACTCTGGAAAGTAAACCTGAAGCTTACAGAGATACTGCTTTAAGAAGAAGTATGAAATTGTAAATACAAAATTATATATGTCAGTTAATTTTTATTCACAATGAAACTCATAATAATGCTTTACTTTTTTTTCATTAAAAAAATTGAACTGGATGTGGTGGTGCATGCTTTTAATCCCAGCACTCAGGAGGCAGAGGCAGGTGGATCTCTGGCAGTTCAAGGCCAGCCTGATCTACAGCAAGTTCCAGAAGAGTGAGAACTACATAGTGAGATCCTGTCTCAAAAAATAGTAATTGAAATACAATTACATCACTTCCCCCTTCCCTTTCCTTCCTTTAACCCTTCCTATGTCTCCTCCTTCCAGTCTCTTCCATGTCCTCTCTTCACTCCCTCTCAAATAGATTGACTCTTTTTCTTTGAGTATTATTGTTACATATATATGCATAAATATATAAATATATGCATAAATATATAATATACCTTGCTGGCTAAAAACCAACATAAAATGTTAGAAAATCTACAAAAATACATATTAAATACATTTTCTGAAATCTCTTACTTTGTACTTGTGTGCTATTGCTCTTTGTTTCATATAAAAATTGCATAATATCAAATATCATTAACTTTTAGTTATTGATAATTGAGATATACAAATAATGAAAATTCATATTTGAGTACATGCTATAAATTAGGCACTACAATAAATTCTTTTCAATCAATTTCTATTTTTAAAAATACAAAAAATATAGCTCATGCATAATTAGTTTCAGAATCAGCTAGTAATATGACAGCCAAATCTAGGTAAAACGCCTGAATATCTACTCAGTCGCAAGTAACCATGCAACATAGAAAGTTGCATACAAAAAGCAGAATAATATTTTTGTGTAATTGAATAGTCTATGATATATAAAGAGGACATTCAACTTAACGTCATTTTTATTACATTACCTACTTTTCTTTTTGTTCATTCTTCTCTCATACAACACATCTTGACCACAGCCTCCTCTCCATCTACCCCTCCCAGTTGCTCCCACCTTTCCACTCCCCCAGTCACTTGCTCCTCTGTTTCCCTTAGAAAAGACCAGTTTTATTTTCTTTATAAATTAGTATACTTTGCTTAATTTTTGTTGTGTTTTGTTTTTGTTTTTCAAGACCAGGTTTCTCTGTGTGGATCTCTGTTCTGAATCTCACACTGTAGAGCTGACTTCCAACTCTCAGAGATCCATTTTCCTCTGTCGCCAGATGTACTGGAATTAATGGCGCACACCACCAAGGCCTGACACTTTTCCTTAACTGTTTTTGTGACAGGGTTTTTCTGTAGCTTTGGAGCCTGTCCTGGAACTAGCTCTTGGTAGACCAGGCTGTCCTTGAACTCACAGAGATCCGCCTGCCTCTGCCTCTTGAGTACTGGGATTAAAGGTGTGTGCCACCACCGCCCAACTTTCTTAACTTTTAAATTATAAACTTGGTACTGGTATCATTTGGAATTCTTTTCTTTTTTCTTTTGGCGGGGGAGTGAGGAGTATCGAGACAGGGTTTCTCTGTGTAGCTTTGGAGCCTGTCCTGAAACTCACTCTGTAGAGCAGGCTGGCTTTGAACTCCCAGAGATCCATCTGCCTCTGCCTCCCGAGTGCTGGGATTAAAGGTATGAGCCACCACCGCTTGACTGGAATGTTTATACACATATGTTATTATACTTTGTGTTTTTTTTAAAAAAAGATTTATTTATTTATTATGAACACAATGCTCCTCTGCATGTATGCATGCCTGCAGGCCAGAAGGGAGCGCCAGATCTCATTACAGATGGTTGTGAGCTACCATGTGGTTGTTGGGAATTGAACTCAAGCCCTTTGGAAGAACAGCCAGTGCTCTTAACAACTGAGGCGCCCTTCCAGACCCTGTACTTTGCTCTTGTTCACTGTTTCCTTAACTATCCTCTCCCATTCCTCTCGTTCTCCATGGTTAGTGGTCCTTTTCTTTCCCCAAGTCCCTTCTCCTTTCATGGCATATGCATTTCATTTCCCTTACCCTTTTAGGGTTCATTTTTACCTCCATGCCCCCATGCACAATTTGTAATCTTGGTGGTGTAATATGAGATAGATATGCAGTATCTGTCTTT